TTGTTCCTGCCTTTATTGTTTCTGCCTGGGTTACTCCACCACGTGAAGGAAATACGAATTAATTCAATGGCACATATAATTTTAATGTATGCACAGAAGACGTTTTTCAAAGTGAGATAAGAGAAAAAAAAAAATTCATGAAGGATTTCAATCTTAACATGCTGCTCTGATACCAATTGCTAATTTTTAGTTTTAATCATGTTAAGAATCGATAATCACAATCCAATAAATTAATAGAAACAAATTCATACCTGCGGAAACCATTGTTGATATGAATAGTAGTTGTAATAGCAGCTAAAATCTTCCTCTCCTTGCTCCTCACAAAATATCAACTATCAATGGGACAAGCCAATAAAACATATGGAGAGGGGAGGGGACCTAGCCTTTATATATATGAAATAATTTGAGTCGTCCCTTTACAACTAGAATTCTAATTAGAGTTTATTTCCGGCCCACATATTTTAAATTACCACATCAAATTAATTGCAACTCGTAAGGTGTAAAAGGCTTAATTGATCACTTAATAAATTTGGCTCAAACACAATTATCATTATGAGCCATATATCTAACCCGTAAAATTTTGCAATCGAATGTGAAGCCCACATATGAAATTATTAATTATTCCAACAATTTAGTGTTTAGTTTTTGGTCTATTTCGATCAAGAGAGCTGCTATTCACAAGCAGTTAAGAAGAGATCTAAACATGAGCGACAGTCCAAATCAATTTGAGCTGTTCGTGTCAACCAACAATAGAGGTGAGCAGTGACTGAGAAGAGATGAAGCTTTTCTCAAGTGAAGTGGTAAGAATCCTTGATGTGTAGGGGAAGAGAAATTTGTACGTTTTGAACTCATGATTATCTTTTAAATCTCCTTTTAAAGGGGTTAATCAAAAGTAGGCCCAGACCCACGTGAAAACGGCGTTTATATATGATGAGGACATTACACCAAAGTTTTCTTATCAAATTAAACTTCTCTTATTATTAGTCTGCGTCTCGTGTGTTGCACGAATTTTGTATTCATTAGCATAGAATTTATAGATTGTACAAAAAATATTTGGAAGGAAAAAATGTTTGTTTGATTCTCATCTTTTGGTCGACTGTATATTTTATGTCACGATAATTTATTTTTATTCTTATAAATAAGTATAATGAATATTGTGATTGTATATATGTCAACAATAATTTATTTTTAATTATTTATTGTATTTCTTGTTTAGTGTAGCTGAAGATATTTTTTTTTATCTGATATTGCAAATAAGTTGTAAATTGAATTTCGCAAAATGCTTTTCTTTAGCAACTTCGATTCGAGAGGCTATACTTGTAGTTCAAAAATAATACATGCAGTTGTAAATTGAAAGAGAATATCCACATGTAAAAATATTTAAATAACAAACTCAGGTTCGCACGTAAAATAACTTAAAGTGACACTTACTGGATGGTCAACTCTCTTGTTGGTGTAAGAATTAGAACCCTAATAGTAGGCTTATTCTTCGGACGATACAACAGTCATTCCAAGGTTGGTAGGGTAAAAGAATTTGAAAAAAAAAATTTAAATAAATTTTATTCGAAAGAGGAAAGAATTAAAAAGAAATTTAAATAAATTGATAAAAAAACCAATTATTTATAAAGTAAAATTTTCAATTTTAATTAAATAATATTTATGTATTCTTTACTTAATTTTCATAACTTTATTTTATTTTTTACTTCTAAATAATTTTAAACGAATTTTTTTACTTATATAAGTAATTTTTACATATATTAGAAATATTTTTTTTAATATTTTTTTTTAAAATTTTTTTTTACTAAAAGTGATATATATATATATATATATACTTATAAAAGTGGTCAGCACGGAGTAAAGCGGGAGGTATGGAAAGTTGCGTGTTACATTGATTCACATTGCCTCTCTTACACTATATATATAATATAATAATATAAGCAAATGAGTTGATTTGAAAAGGCGTGGCTATAGCGTATGAAAATGGATAACGGAAAAGTACAAAAAAAAATTTAATAATCCTCCGTACACGGAGACCACACTATATATAAATATTTTTAATTCTTTTCTCTTCAATTTTTTTACCTTACAAATAATTTTTTCATTAAAATTGAAAATTTAAGTTTTATTTGGAAGAGAAAAGAATTAAAAAGAAAAAAATAATTGATTTTTTTTAAGGAAAAACGTATTTGTTAACACATACGTTTAATCTCCGTTTAACTATTTTCGATATTTATTTAGATTATTCGATATCTCTACGATATAGTTCTCAAAATGAGTTTCGCGAGAATGTAAAACATTTATCGATTCGACTATTGTACAATCGTCGATGAATTTTTAAAGTTAGCTTGTTATCGAAAATTTCGAAATAGTAATAAAATAATTAATTTTTTTAAGAAAAACGGCTTATGCTTATTTTTTAACACATACGTTTAATGTCTGTTTAACTATTTTTTATATCTACTTAGATCATTCGATTCTCTACGATATAGTTCTCAAAATGAGTTTCGAGAGAATGTAAAACATTTATCGATTCAACTATCGTACAATCGTAGATGAATTTTTAAAGTTAGCTTATTATCGAAAATTTCGAAATATAGTTTGAAAATGCCTACTTTGACGTTCCATAACATTTGCTATGATTGACCGTTTCACGTACCGTTAATGACGTATAATACTATGTCGCGAGTACTTCAAAACGATATTAAGAATGTAATATTTAGATTTCGTTTGATATCCCGTAATGAGCGTGAAAATGAACAAAAAACATAAGTATAAAAAAAAAATCAATTTCTCACATGTCTCCGTGCAAGGAGGCTTCCTCTTATTTATTTATTTATTCTTTTTTAAATAAAAGCCAATACTTCTTTATATTATATAAACTAACTACAATGATATATATATATATATTAAAATAAAAAATTTAAAAATATATATACTTAAAACTTTGAATTAATATTTAATCTAAAGTAATATTTAGATAAATTTAATTTAAAAAATTCAATATTACTAAAAATATTACTATAAAATTAAATATTTTCTAAAATTATACTCGTTTTTCTTAAAAAGTCAATTTTTATTACTATTTATTTTTTTTTCGCAACATTTTTCTCAATACATCATTTTGTTCAAAAAAATTATGCGGTATGACGTAAATTCTTTTTTCAATTATTTAAAATTTTATTTTTTTTTTCAAGTGGGGAGCAAAAACGACGCGTTCCTCCGTGCATGGAAAAAAAATTCGTCATACCACATAATTTTTTTGAGCAAAATGATGCATTGAGAAAATTGTTGAAAAAAAAGAATAAATAGTAATAAAATAATTGATTTTTTTAAGAAAAAATGACGTATACGCATTTTTAACACATACGTTTAATCTCCGTTTAACTATTTTCAATATTTATTTAGATCATTCGATGTCTCTACGATATAGTTCTCAAAATGAGTTTCGAGAGAATATAAAACATTTTTCGATTCGACTATCGTACAATCGTCGACGAATTTTTAAAGTTAGTTTGTTATCGAAAATTTTGAAATAGTAACAAAATAATTGATTTTTTAAGAAAAAATGACTTATGCGTATTTTTAACACATACGTTTAATCTCCATTTAACTATTTTCGATATTTATTTAGATCATTCGATATCTCTACGATATAGTTCTCAAAATGAGTTTCGAGAGAATGTAAAACATTTATCGATTTGATTATCGTACAATTTTCGATGAATTTTTAAAGTTAGCTTGTTATCGAAAATTTCGAAATATAGTTTAAAAATGCCTACTTTGACGTCCCATAACATTTGCTATGATTGACCGTTTCACGCACCGTCAACGACGTGCAATACTATGCCGCGAGTACTTCAAAACGATATTAAGAATGTAATATTTCGACTTCGTTTGTTATCCCGTAATGAGCTTGAAAATGAACATAAAAACATAAGTAAAAAAAATAAATTATTTCTCTAAATTTTGTCTCCATGCACGGAGACATTGACACCTGCCTCCGTGCATGGAGGCCCCAACAATAATTTTTTTTTTCTTTTCCCCTCCGTGCACGGAGAGATTACCTTTTTTTTTTTTTTTTTTTTTTTGGTATTT